CAATTTTGATTATTTCCACAAATTTTTGAAATTTGAATCAATAATAAATAATTTCAACAAAAAAAGATATGGTCACTTGAATAAATAACACTTCAATCGCCAAACCCTGTACATTAAAACAAATAAAAGAAGTGTGGACCCCATTTAATGGAATTAGTTTTTAATTGGAACTTTTCTGCATACTACCAGTTGCTTTATTTTTATTCACACTACGTACTATATTATTTAAGTGTACACATGCATGGTTCAAGTTCACATTACTGACATCTCCAAATGATTTTTTTATCGATCCAGAACATCAAAGTGCTTATATAAAAGTAATATTCATTTAACATATTATATTTAATTTGGATAATTTAGATATCGCTGTTAAAATATTTGAATCTACAAACTACAATCTTAAGCACTATCAAATATTGTATTCTGATATAAACACAAATACCGATATATATAATATATATATTTTGTGTTTTTTCGACTACTGACTATTATCATATAAACACAGATAATTCGCTATTATAATTGGTAAAGAAAAACACAAATAAATCTTTTTTTATTATTGCCTAACTAAAAATAAATATCTTTATCATTCACAGTGTTAAGGAGAAAGATATTGGAGAATTTTCCTTTTTCCGAAATAAAACAAAAACAAACTTGTCTACAACTGGGAATTAGTATAACAACAATTGTTATCATCAGTCAACAATTACTGATGATAAGTTTCAAAATATAACAAGTTTCTTACACTGATAACGTTTGGGAAATTTGCGTATTTTTCTGAAAGTCAATGATTTGAAATTTTGTCTGGAAATCTCTCATTTTTTAGAAAATAAACCCAAACATTATTCATACCATCAATGATAAATAAATACACTTTATTTATATTTTAGGAGGACTATTGTTTATTATTATATTATGTTCGGGAAGTTTTAAATTAGTTTAAAGCCTCATATAAAGCCTCATATGCGTATAAACACTTCAATGCCACAATTTTTTCATTTGGAATAAAATCTGTATCTATTAATATTTTGGTACATTACTTTATTTTTCATAATTATATTTTATTCAATTAATTGGTTTTAAAATAAAAATATTACAGTTACATGAGCTATTATCTAAATCAGAATATAGTTAGTGCATAATTGGTATGTAGATACGCCAGAAATAAAAAAAAAATGTTAAAACCTTGAAAGTTATCAGTAACCTTGGTTAGTGGAATGGAACGATGGTGATTATGAAGTAAAAAATAATTACATAAATAAATTATCCAAGTGTAAAATATAATGTATTTTTTATTTACGAAAATGTGGAGTTGGGTTTCATTTTAAAATTGGTATTCCGGAAACCAGGAAGTCAGTCTATGTCTCATTGGTATAGAATGTATAGAAATATTAAATATTTCTAAAATAAAAAAAGATTGAAATTTAGTAAAATTATATGTGACTCATATAGTTCTTAAAATAATTAAAATATTATATAGAAATAGAAATATATACCAATAATAATATCAATATGAAGAAGAAAATTTCTACATAGACGACTGGACAATTATTTCTGCTACATGTACCTGGGCACACTGGCATTCAGTGCAATAAAATTTATTAATGCTGTAATTTATTACATTAAAGAAAAGTTTCTAAGAATATTTAGCCATTATACGAATACTAAATACTATTAAATATATTTAACTACTTTATGATTATATATTTTATAACAATGCTGTTTATCCAATATAAGAAAACGTCAACCTTATCAAAATATTGTATTGAAACATATGCTAAAAACACCACGATAAATTAGAAATGAAGATATATATACACAAGCACTTAAGAGTCGGGAAAAGGCGAAAAATAAAGCAAAAGATACCAATTGATTATGTGGATACTGATTTAAAAATAGACTTTCGTAAAACAAATCCATCAAAAAGATATGCTGAGCTTCAAACTATACTCCTGTAAAATCACATGTATAACTAATTTTCATAATTCAAAGGAGCACTTATTACAATGGATCATCCAAGTTGTCAAAAAAAACAAACTATATTTCTGTAAAATCACCTGAATGACTCATTTTCATAATTCAGAGGAGCACTTTTTACAATGGATCATCCAAGTTGTTACAGACACTATTAAGTAAAAATGCTAACTCGCATTTCAAGTGGAGAATAAAAAGTACATTGGGAAAATAGATCTATGACTGACATAAATACTAATGTGTTCATAACCTGATCCCTAAAAGCATATCATAAATATTTTTGGTCAAATATTTTAACTTGAATTTCAAGAAAAATTAACTAGAAAAAAAATCCCTCAATTAACTATATAGATTTCTTTAAGAGAATGTGATGAGATACAAATATTAAAAGAATATTAACGATAAATCAATTATTCAATTACATTAAAAATATTAAAAATTAATCAAAATATGTCATAGATCTTAAAAATTATAATTAAATAATAATTGAAATTTGTTTTAAAGTCTATAGACAAGATTCATTTATTTCATTCATTTTCAATTTAATAATTTTACAAGTCTTTAGAAATAAATAGTGCCACATAGTTAATTACACTTAAATAATTATTGAAGGAAATTTATTGTCTTATGTACAAATTTCGGTTGTCTTTTTAATTACAATATAATTATGTTATATGAAGCAATTTTCCATAAAAAACAATTTTTAAACAATTTTTATTTTTCACACCACATGAACTTAATGGAGCGCATCTGTTAAAAATTACGGCAAACTGAATAAATTTGTAAAAACGACATTAGCGTTAAAATTTCATCATATCATATATGATAGTATGTGCTGTAGATAAGTTGTAAAATATCTAATATTTCTAATATTTTTGTAATGAAAATCTATTTTAATAAAAAAAAGTTATAAATAAATGAATTTAGGTATTTTTATTCTAAAATCCCTAGTGAGGAATACCTTTGTTAAGGTATAATAAAAGAAATGTGTAAGAAATACAAAATCTTTTTTTAAAATTTTTATCATTATCCAATATTGAATAGAAATCTAAAAAAATTTTTTAGACTTAGTATTAATATTATGTTAGGGGATTTAAAACTGCAATCTAGAAATCTATTGTGCTGCCTTCATGGATTTAAAGGGTTTCAGATTTTTTTATAATTTGTTGTATTAAACCTTCTTCACCGACCTTAATTCGTTTAACTGATATAAGATGCCCACCTAAGTATTTCTTCAATTTATGCATCACTGCCGGGCAGACTCCCAGCACGTGCTTTGTGTTCTCATTCGCTTTCCTACAAAAAGTACAAGTTCCACTAGAGCAATCTATTGTGCTGCCTTCATGGATTTAAAGGGTTCTCTAAGACAGACTTTTTTATAATTTGTTGTATTAAACCTTCTTCACCGACCTTAATTCGTTTAACCGATATAAGATGCCTACCTAAGTATTTCTCCAATTTATGCATCACTGCCGGGCAGACTCCCAGCACGTGCTTTGTGTTCTCATTCGCTGTCCTACAAAAAGTACAAGTTCCACTAGAGCAAGTTTCCAGTTTTGTAAGATAATAAACTGCTTAGACGTAGTAAAGGTAAAAACACCATTTAAATAATTTGAAAGACAATAACAAATGTAAGTATATAACCTTTCTTCAAAATTGTATCGAAATATAATTTTTTTACTATTTTCATTATATATGCAGCAGAGGATAAAAAACTTCACAATTGTTTGGAGAGAATATTTCTTTAAAATCACTGATTGAACGATATCTGAAAAGGTTTTAAATTTAATTTTCAATGTACTTATACAATAAAAACTTAACCAGAGGTCCGTAAAGTATTATATTTTTGTTGTTACCGATATTATTTTTATCGAAAAATACTCGTCCTTGAATATTTTTATAGAATATTTTTTAGTTCTGGCTTTAGAAACACTCATGATGTTATTATGTGTGATTCAGAAAAGGTAAATAGAATTATTTTTAAAATAATAGATTATTTAGAGTTTAAGAATGTAATTTGTCGATGTTATAGCTAGAATAAATCCAGGACATTCTATTAAAATATCTTTTTTGATGAGAAGAACAAGATCAATAAATTTTTTACCTCTAAATTAAACACAATTAATATTGAAATTGATGAAGAAATATTTTTTAGCCTTTAAATTAATTAATAATATATTAGTGAAGATGTCGTTATTGACCTAAGATATGCATAGGCTAAAGGCGCTATCACCACGGAAATTTCTGGTATTACTAAAAGATGGATTTTTTAACAAGATTTTTAAATAAAAAATAAATACTCTTTATATACAATAACATTGCATGTAGTCTATCTTATATACTGAATATTAATATAGTGAAATATTGAAGGATTAATTTTTCTTATGTATTGCGAATGTTCAGTTGTAAGTAAACACTAATGGTAATCAATAGTACAGGAACGGAATGATGTTTTTCTAAATTTTAAAACAATGTACAGAACTATAGTTTTTGTTTTTTGATACATATATCACAAAATTTTATAGATATATAATATATATAAATATGTAGATACACATAAGTTATATCTATATACTCAGGAAACAGATTTCTCATATATTATATATATATTGTTTTAAATATTTCGAATATTGTTTCCAAGATGTATTTTTAGATCTATGCGCAAAATTAATTAAATTAGTGTGAAATGTATATCAATCTCAAAGTTAAAAAAGTTTAAATATTTTAACATATGTTCAAATTTCTAAAATTTAAACGAATTTTATTTTGTTTATAAATATGTTTCGTGTGTTTTTGTTTTTATATTTATATTTTATTTATTTTTGGTTTATTATCACGAACGAAAGTTTCAGCAGAAAGGTCATTGATGGAGCACTTCACCAATTAGCAACAATTTTTTTTTTAATTTTTACGTATCTTAGCACTTTTAACGTTAATAATATTAATTTTTTGATACTTTTCATAAATTAATGCAGGTTGTTTTTTAGAGAATATTTTTTTTGTTAACACCTTCAGCGCACACTCACCCAACTTGCCCATCAAATCTTCAAGCACATAATCCACTGCCATTTTTCAAAAGTATTTTTTACCACACTTAAAATTATTTATTTATATTTATGTAAATAAAATTACTTATTTTTATTTTTAATTTTAATTAATGAAAGTTTCGTTTCTTATTCGACTGTTGGCTTCAACACAGCATTTTCATGAGTCAGTAAATTTTGCAACAAATTAATCAAAATTTAGACAAATTCGGTCTTAGAGAAAACCAGTTTTTTCGGCATTTATGCAAAAAAAAAGAATAACTTGAAAATTTATTTCACTGAATCGGTTGTATTAGTTAATGGTATTGTATCTGATCTCAGTACGTTAAGGTTCAAACTCCAAGCGAAACCGCGTGCAAGATGCGTGCTGCTACTGCAAATGCTACGCGGTTTTCCTATCGTTATCAGCACAAGTCGGACAAAAACAAAAAAATTACAATAAATTTATTTCAAAAAATAAAATCGAGTAAAATTTAAACAAAATATTTGGCAGAATGTTTCAATACTTCATTTAGCAACCGAACCGTACGGCTTCGCTTCGAAATTTGTACTGAAACTTTTGCTCCAAACATTCGCAATCTCATTCGCAAACGCTAGACGAACGCATATCAGTTCGAATATTTACTGCCGTGAATTTGTTGACTGAGTGTTTTGCTGATCGTTAATGCTTTGCACTTAAGCTGTAACGCTGTAAGCAATGCTAACACTCGAAGGCGAATTTGCTGTCTAACAGTAGCCGCTCTTTTATTTGAAACAAATAAATTGGCAATTGTGTTATGGCAATCAGGAATGAAATTATTGTGTTCAACTTTATGATGTTTCGATAAATTCTATTATTTTTCAACATCAAAATAAAAATACTTTTATTAGAAATTATAAAATATAATTGAAATAACTGAGATACAGTCATAGAAAATTTTATTAATCATTTTTAAAGATATATACAGTATTTTCAAATTGAAGCTTATATCATAATAAATGCCACTTATTACAATAAATGACATTTATTACAAATACATAACATTTATTATGATTTGAACATATTATACTATATATGTAAAATTTACTATAAATCACATTTGTTAGGTTTTGCACTGGGATAGATGTAAAATAATAATTATTGCGGTTAAATTATGGTACTAGCTTTATTACATTTAAAATGCGTAGCTATAAAATTTTTTGAATTTATTTATCGACCTGTTCATCAAAATGGTTTTACATATATTTTTTTTATCTGACTGTAGGTCCCTTCTTGTTAAACAATTCAACGTTTAATTCGTTTTATTATACTCTACATTTCAACTCTCGTTGAGAGTCATCATCAGAATTACGATCTACAAATAATTATAACAATTTACAATATTTTAATTATTATTTTCATAATTAATAATCAATACATTCATTTTGTTTACATAACAAAATTTATAACAAACATACAAAAATTGTTTATAATATTATTTAATATTTTTGAATTAAATATATTAAAGTTTTTAAATAAGAATTTTATGTAATGTTTACCTACTATAAGTTAATATTTTTAAAACTACATATACGTCATCCTCTTTGTAGCTATATTCAATATAATTATTTAACAGACTTTATTAATTTGTGTCAGACTCATTAGTTTGTACATAAAATAATGTTTTGAAGAACTGAAAAAAATTTACCCTTCGTTTATTATAATAGCTATAATTTTTTCTTTTAGAGTAGCACAATATACTCGTAACTTACGAAACAAAACATGTGAAGCAACAACAATGCTCTTAAAATCTTCAGAGTTAGGTTTTACTCGCAAAAATTTTCACGTCCTAACTTTTAGTGCATCCAAATTCAAAAATCTATCTATTGTTCACTGGAAATATGTTGCAAAATTCCAGTCATCCTTTAGAATCATATGAGCATTTCATTTACTAATGTATTCAAGTACATAAATAAATAAATTAATTTGAATATAAGATAAAAATACTAACCATTGCCCTTCTAATATTCATTTTGTTTTTTTTATTTAAATTAATTTATTTTCAGTGTTTACAAATTTTATATTTCAAATTATACATAACAAAACAAAAAACATATATATCATACATATGTCAGAAAAAAGCATTTAACATACATATTTTAAAAGTGATGCCAATTTGTTTTAACCAGACTTATTGTTCTTTTTTCACAACTTGTACATTAAAGCTTGTACATCTATATTGAAAATTAATGTAACTTCAATCTATTATAACAAGTCGAAATTGACTAAGTAATTGACTACGTAACTACCATCAGACTGCTTGATTTTGAAAGAAGATCTATCACTGTACTCGAACAATATCCTACAAGTCCAATAGGATACTGCATTGCTGGCTCGATTTTAGCCAATAATAATATTCGAGGAGGTACACTCTCGTCTAAACAGGCTTATAAAGCAACACTTGTGTAGATTTTATGACGCTAATACCATGTTTCCACTGGTCTCACTTAGGCAGTTTTGCTCATTAAGGCCGCTAATAAGGATGATTTACCATACAAAGAGCTTCCATATAAATAAGCCTATTATAAATAAATCAACTGATTTAAGGCTGAAAATGTCAAATGCAACCCTTAAACATAAATTTACTATAAACGAAATAAAAATTTAAAATATTTGTTATATATTTTATAAGTAAAATTTAAACAAACAAGCTATTTCACATGCATAAATCAGCTCATGCCAATGGAAACAACCAAATCTTAATTACATTAACATAGTTTTAAAGTAGTTTTAGCTGTAGTGGAAACATTTGTAGCGTTTATTACAACCATTTAAAGACAATAATGGTTTCTATTCGTACAAACAGAAAATAAAATACACGGTTTCAGGCGCTATAGTCTCGAGCGGTCGAGAAAAATTAAATTTGTTGCGAAAACATATGAATGAAACGATCATTTTAAAAACAAAAAGTTAAGATGTAAATAGTTTAAGAAATATTTCATATATTTTTAAATAAAATGCTATGGCTAGCCTATCTGAGAAAATTTAAGAAATATTTCTACTAACAATGGATTAAATAAGGCTCTCAATTGATTTTAATATTGCAATAGTGATGTTTTCTTAAAAATCAGAGGACCACAAAAAACTTGAAAGTATTGGCAATTTTCATATGAAAAAAACTGTGTGTATAAATATGTATATATAAATATATAAAGACTATAAAAATGTTTATATTTCTAAAAAGTTAACTAGAGCACATGATTAACTATTGCTTCAAAGACAAAACTGGCTGAAAGATGTCATATCTCTAATTATATTTAAATCTTTTAATTATCTTTGATTTTTATCTTTAATCTTATATCTTTCACGGGAATAATACAGGAGATTGAGCTTATTAATTGAGGTGGGAAACTAGTGAACTCCTGACATAATTATCCTTTATACAATATGCATATATCTATCTATCATACACATATATGTCTGACTAACTTTAAGACTAGTGTTATTCTATTTGAAGTTGCATTAAACTAATATCAGATATCACAAATTTATTAGTTTTCAATTAAATTAATTAATTTTTTATGATAAAAATTTTATAATATATAAATTTGATTATCTTATATAACAAGTAAAACCAAAGTCATTGAAATCAGTTTCAGAAATGAACTAGCTATCACTGTCTATTTCTAACCGTAATTGTGATTACTTTACTCATAGTAGTAAGAAAAGCTGACATTATTACGAAGTTATTCTAAATATATGTAAATTTTTATATTAGTTAAGTATATATATTTCGTAAAACCACTGATGATGAGCACTTGACAATACCCGAAACAGCGTTGTATGTTTAGTCTAATTTCAATAAATTAAATAAATTTTTGTTCTTGTCTTTTCTTTACTATTCGAATCCCTCTAACTGTTAAAAATAGCTTCTTTGTCTAAATATGTATACATTTATATAAATTTTTTTATATATCTAACAAATACACATTCCGTTCAATAAAACCCGGGTAGAGATCAGATTCAAACAAATGAAATGAGCGGATGTTTCACACACAGAATCTGGAGGTTTCAGTGTTTTGTAATGGTATTTTTATATATCAAGCAAAAAAATCAGTAACTTGTTTGATTCAGAACTATTATAAGTTTTAGTAGTTTTGTTGATGTTTACCCTATCGTATTGGGGTAAATCAAACCTTTGCAGACAACTTATATTTGGTATATTAAGTAGTAATGCTGTCTGATAGGTGGATATCCCATTACATTAATAAACTCTTGTAATTTTTTGACTAAAACAAGGTGATGGGTATGGGCCATAACATATTCCACATTAATAAACTTTTATAAGTTTTTTAAGCAAAATATTACCAATATAATATAACTTAATTAGAAAAAACGCTAAGGTCTTAAAGAATTCTTAGAAGAAGTCTTAATAATGTTGAGGCTAGTTGAGTCAGTTCACCTGAGCACTTTTACTCTCTATTAACTGCGAGGTTTCTTCAAAACCCTTTTTTGCGCCTTGACTGGATTATTGTTTATCACTTCATCAGACTAAGCAATAATTGACCTCAGATCTGCATATCTCCCCGAGGAGCCTGTAACCATTCTGTGATTTGATAACGCGGTGTTAGTCAGTTCTTTTTAAATCAAAGCTTCAGAAATTTTTGTGGTGAATGTAAAAGTAAAAACATTTTTAAAATATTTAAAAAATTAAACAGTAAGTTAAGTAGAATGATAACGCGTTTTGTTATGAATTAAAACTCAGTTCCTATTTATTACAATAATCCAAGTTTCCACTGTAGTTTGTTTTGAAACTGTTGTGCTTGACTTATAACGTCACAAACTCGATCAATTAAATCGAAAAGGGGCTTGTTTTATTGATTTGTGGAAAGTAACATTGAAGAATAATAATTACCACGCTTTATAATAGTAAAGCAGAAATTTAATTGAATTCTGAAGAGAATTCTGAATAGGAAATCAATAATATGAGTATGGAAATATGGAAACAGTACTTGGCGCCTGACAACTGAAAGCACATTTTCTCAATTAATAGTTACACTCATAATAAATTCTCTGGCTATCAAAAATTAATTCACGAAAAAATAATTTCATTTCAAAATTATTTGGTAAGTGGGGAATTTTAAAATTTTTTATTAGCTCTATGAATCAGAATTATATATTTAAAAAAAATCAACACAAGGTCTACGTAGTTTGTACAACAACTGAAAACTTCGTCAGAGAGTGTTTTAATTACACTCTAGGGAAGAAAAAGAATATTCTAACATATTTTATAAAATCACGAGTTGAATTCAAGTTTAGAATTCTAAAAACTGTATTATATATTTATTTTTATTTAGAAGTCGATGTACTAAAATAATATTAAACGTCAAGTTACTTAATTGGTTTTGTGTGACAAGGTATCGCGAGTTGAGTTTGCATTTTTATATAAAATTCATTGATGCTAATGACTTTCAATTCGCACTCGTACAGAATTTCATATAAATTCAGACTTCAATTAGACCAGTTTTTGTAATTTTACTTTTAACATAAATTAGCAACAAACTTTATTAGGCATTAATTGATTTATAAAATATTTGTAATTTTCTTTAGTTTAATATAAAATCTTTAATGGAAAGAATATGTTACAGATTCTTCAAAAATTAGTAGATAAATTAAATCTGAATGTAAAAATAAATTCGAATTTATAAAATACATGTAATCTAAAAATATATCATTCAATAAATTTTCTAAAGTTTGATATTGCTCATCTAACGTTGTGGCAATAATAAAGAAGCCTGTAAGTCATAGATAAACTTTAGAAAATTTAGATTAAATTAAATAAGTAATTAGTAAAGATTTAAATTTTACATCAATTCCGAAATGGAAACTTACAAGGTAACGAAATGCTTTGTTAAAACAACCTGATAGTGTACTGGCAAAATTTCTCAAGGAATTAAAGCGAAAAGACGTCAGACTAGTGATCGGAGTCATCACAGGATATAACAGAGGTGGACAGTACATTGTCATTATATTAAATTTTATTAGAATTTATTTGATCAACACAGATTCAAAATGTCAATCATGTGGAGAACGCAAAGCATTTCATCTGTTATTGGCAAGCATTTGCAAAAAGGGATGGAAATTGTTAAGTTATGATGCCTTAAGTGTAAACCATTTCATACTTGTTCTCTCTACTTGATGGATCTTTTAGATTTATTCAGGAAATAGAAAATTAATTTGTATGTGTGTTTTTGAATTAGAGTAGCATAATCAAATCTTAATCTTTTTTTAGGTTCGGGCTAAACCTATTAATCAATGATTAACAGACTGAGTGTCTTCATTTTACTCCCACCTGAACTCAGGACAAACAAAGCAAAAAAAAGTCATATATTGCATACATATTAATAATGAAGTTAGTTCATTTACTAAAGTTGCACTTACAGTCGGTTTAACTCAAATACATACAAATAATAATAAAAAACACCCAAACGCTCAGTTGTTACCTGGGTTGTCGCCAAAAAAGTCGAATAAAAATACCTGTAAACAACAATAAACAGCGAAAAAATAGTACCAGTTAACAGCACTAAAAAATCAAAAAAATAATTTTACACAAATTTTTGAAACATCACTCTTAAGCATAGATGAACAAGAATTAATTTTTTTGAAGAGCTTGTTTTAACAACCACATCAACAACTCCAAGGTGTTTAAGCTAAAATATACTTCTACGATGTTTCATTTAAACAAAGTTTACTATATTTTGCTAATTTAAATGAAGAAAAGCATGAGTACTTATGCAAGCAAATGCAAAATTTGTTGCTGTCCTCCACGAGTTATTGCTGTTGTTTGGAAGTTTTCACTGCGCCTTCAATTTTTATTGCGCCGCTCCCTCTATAAATTGTAATATTCAATCTATATTACAAAATTTCATTTCTTTATCCTATTTGATGATTCTTTTGCTTATGTTATGCATTAGTACCGGACTTCTAGCAGGTACCTCATTCAGTACGCTACAAAACCTACAAGTTTCATTAGAGTAAATTCTCAGTTTTGTAAGAAGATAGTTGACCCAATAGTTTCCTGTAAAAATTATCGTAACAATTCTTAAATTATTTTTACTAAGTTGATTACAACCCTTAAATGGTTTAAAGTTGAGATTTTGTATAAACGATTTCGGTTGCGTTCGACCTGGTACATTATCCCAGTATAGCTTTCTTTGTTTCTCCTTTTCTTTTTGAATGAGTGAAAAAAAAATGACCTCATGCTAAATCAAAAAATGGTTCTGGGCTTACAAGCAGCTAACTTTCTAGAAAGTTCATCTGCAACTTCATTACAGGTTATTCCTACGTGGTCTGAAAATTTAAGAAAAAGAAAATGCCTTTTTTAGTGTTCTTGTAGATGACAAATATATTTTGAGATTGATAGGAAATTATATCAGTTTTATTAGTCTACGTATAATAAATTTATCATCTATTATTTTACATAACAGTGAGGAATCAGGCAATATATATAATGGAATATATATAATGGAATAGCTTTAAGCGTTGTAGGGCAATAAAAATTATTTCTCCTTTTTTCCTTTTTTCCTTTTTTCTCCTTTATTTCTCTTTTTTTATTTCTCCTTTTTTATATACACCATTTTCAATTTGATTAGAAATTCAAGCGAAGGTTTCTATTCAACTGAATAGGCAGTTATAGTAAAATAATTATAAAAATTTATTCCCAATTTAATTTCATTCGCTTTTCTTCTAGAGTCTGTAATTAAAAAAATATCTATAATACTCGTAAATTCATAACCCTTTCGGGTAATCAAAACTTTTAAGAATTTATAACTAAAATTATTATATAATAATATATCGGTAAACTATGTGCCGGTATATTTCTATCAATAGATTAAAATTTAAATTAAAAATGTTACTAACTTATCCACAAAGATATCGCCTTCAAGTACACAAAAAAGATTCCAAAAAAGTTGATATATGAATTTATATATTTTTCTACGATAAATTATAGAAAAGAAATCTTCCAAATAAGTCTCTTAAAGAAATTGATAATTAAGTCCCTACATTTTATAGACATTGTAAAATCTCTAATGGCTTAGTAAATTTTCTGGTAATTCTTTGAAATATTTTTTTTTTTTGTAAAATCGGATGACGGCACCCCCCAAATCGGTTCATTTTACTAAAAAAATAATCTGTGTAAAATTTTAGTTCAATTGGATAAGTGGAAATGGTGCCCCAAGAGCCTCAAAGATTGGAAAATAACGATTTTTTCAATAAAATTCATCTTTGATTGCTTATATCTCCGACATATTTAATTTTACATAAAAACTGTCTTCCTAAAAGTTATAGATCTATTAAAAATAAACAATTCACTCATACAAAGTCTTTCTGTATTTCTAATAGTTATTGAATAAAAGCAAATACAAGCTGAAATCCCCCTATTAAATTTAGGTAAGTTCAATGAATGAATTGTCTACTAAATTTGCTAGAAAATAAGTCCAATACTTGTATAGTTATATACATAAGTGAGTTTCTGTATTATTCATTGGAATGCGAAGTGAATTTTAATTCAAAGTGATTACATTAAAAAGTGTACAAGTCTGAAAGCCCAAATGTTGAACTATTTCAACGATTTCAGAAGTTTTGGCCGAAAATAAACGTTGATAAGTTTACAGTCGGCTTAGAAAATGAAAAAGTAAGAAAATCGTTAAATATGGATGATGTGTTACGAATTACAAGTTTCCTTTATAAGATTCGTAAGGATAACCAACCAAGAGATGATTATAAGGAACTTCTGGAACTTACATTAATGTTTTTAGGAGAAAAGCCGAACTGTACCATAAAGTTTCGACCTCCTGGAGCTATACATCATGCAAGATGGATGGTGAAAGTCATGCATGTATTAAAAATATTTTTATTTAGGAAAAAGTTCAAATTATCTACAGAAGAAGAAAATGCTCTTTGCGATATATGTATATTTATTACAACAGTGTATGTTGAAGTATGGTTTAATGCTTTATCAGTCAAAGCTCATTTTCAAGATTTTAATCTTCTTTCTATTCTCAGTCAATATCAAAAAATTGTATTTGGTATTTAAGCTCAAAGCTTGTTCATTTTGCTTTTTTGGATTTAAATATATCACGTGAGACAAAGAAAAAGATGGTTTCAAATTTGAATATAGATAGTGATGACAAGGAAGTCAGGAGAGTATCAATAGATCGCGCAAAAATAACTGAAGGTAATAAGGATACTTTGCTCCAGCAACTTTAACTAAAATAATAAAAATTATGTCGGACAAACCTAGAATTAGTACTTTTTTATTATTAGAAAGATTAAATTTTGGAAATATTGAATTTATTTTAAATTTTTTAGAAATATTAAATTTTTTGTAAAGCTGAAGCGGACAATTACATTCATAGTACTTTCAAAGCTAGCAATCAGATGACTTCAACTTATTTTTTGTTTTATTCAATAACTATTAGAAATACAGAAAAACTTTGTATGAATGAATTTTTAATAGATCTATAACTTTTAGGAAGACAGTTTTTATGTAAAATTAAATATGTCGGAGATATAAGCAATCAAAGATGAATTTTATGGAAAAAATCGTTATTTTCTAATCTTTGAGGCTCTTGGGGCACCATTTCCAATCTTTGAGGCTCTTGGGGCACCATTTCCACTTATCGAATTGAACTAAAATTTTACACAATTATTTTTTTAGTAAAATGAACCGATCTGGGGGGTGCCGCGAGCAATGTTCCGACTTTCGAAAATTAATGGCACCCTAATGTACATACATATAGAATACAATAATCCATTTTTAAAATTATGTTAACAAGTTTTATAATATATTTTTGATATTTTTAACTAATGCAAATATTGAAACTGATATAAACATTAACATGCATTAAATTAATATAAATACTATTTAAATAGCTACGGCTAAAAGTAAAACATGCCCACAAAATTCGTAAATAATAATAGTATAATAATGTTAGAACAAATGTAATATATATACAATAAAAATAGTTTACATTGAACTTCTATATAAACTTCTATAAAAAAAAACCTATTTACATTGAAATTAATTTACATATTTTTATTTGAAATTTGACATTGTGAATATTTACTATCTTTTAAAATTTTAAAAACAATAGATATATTGTAAAAAATGGATTAAACTAAATTTTTAGTAAACTTCAAAATTTTCGTTACGTTTTTTTGCGAAATTTGACAAAATTCTAAGTTTTTTTGAAATAAAAATAAAATAAAGCCTGAGAAAATATACCTCTTCTCAAAGATGAGCTTTTTAAGACCTATGTATTTTGGAGATCAGGGATTGCCAACTGTGTCAGAAGTCTTAAATAGAGCCGATTATCACTTATCAGAAGACTTAGAAACTTCTTGCTCAAAGCGTACGTGCTCCATAACAGATGAGGAATTGGATAAGATCATCAAGGAAACGCAAAAAGCACAATGGGCACAAAAAGCAAAAGAACAACCGTTAGACTTCAATACAAAATCCAAGAAAGTATCGAATCAACATGATCATGTATGTATATATTTTCATACAAACCAATAGATAATGTCCTTACAAAATATTAAATAAGTTCCTTATTTTATAATAACGCCTATTATTATAAAGTGAAACTGATTTGAAAAGCATTAGGGACTTTCATAACTAGCATTCTTGACGCCTTCTTGATGATCTTGGTGACCATGTGTTCTAATAATAGAAAGTTTTTTTTTATTAGTTATTATTAATGTGGTATTTTCTGAATGTGTCCAATCAATTGTAGATATTTATTAAGGTTTGAATATGTTTATAAATACTTTCAATATCTACACACATAAATATTTATAGATACACCAATTATTTTTTTGCTTAATATAATCACAAAAAAATATTCTCTATATGTTGGAAGTAAGAATCAAATATTCTTCATCTTGATTTTATTAATAATGGGCAACAAAAAGTCTGTTACTGTTTAAGAAGTTCTGAAAGTTCTGCTATATTTACTATTTGTAAACTTTTCGCAGTAATCTTATTAAAATCAAAATATATTCACATCTGCTTATTGTAGCTTATTTTATATTATTATAACATCTAATTCAAGTAAAAAATTAAATAAATTTAATTTAGCATCATTTGACCAAGACAACTTATAAAAACTGTTAGATTAGTTTACAACAATTACACTGCGTATATATCTTATTATAGTTCTTAGCTATTATACCACAGTGTGAGTCAGAACTTTCTTCTGGATACAAGGTAAATTGTATTGACATCGTCGGTTAAAATGTATATTAATTTTAAGTTCACATTTAAGTCCAGTCATTGATTTCGCGGTCTTCCCCTTGTACTAGAGTTATTTGGCTTTCCTTTATGGTTCCGAATGTACTATAACACGACTTTTCGAAAACCTTAGGAATTTTGTAAAAATACTTTATTTTGATACTTTACTTTTGATCAAAAACGAACTTTTATGTGTGGAAGGAGCATAAATTCATTAAGGATGGCAAACGCATTTTAAACCGATTAAAACATAGATGAGATCAAAGTAATGTTTGTCAAGACCCGTAGATCTTAAACACTACTTATGGATCTCTTCAAAGTATTTTAATTTAAGATGTGGGTCTCAAATCAATCGCTGCAAAAGTGGTGCCAAAAGACCTTGACTTCATAAAAAAAATAGAAAACGTTAACATTGCTAAAGACATTATTTCGGGGCTGAATTCAATCCGACATTTATCAAACTATTGAAAACGAGATATGGGTTTATGAGTACAACACACATAAAGCAAATGAATGGATAAATTTTATCGTATCAGCAAATGCATCACTTTCTTTTGTTGTATCGGTTGTTCTTTTTATTTCTGATGCTGATTAGATTTCATGTTTCTCCGTTTGAATATCCGACTGCTTTTCAAATCTGGATTATAGAACCGTACGCTTGAATGTAGTGGGCGGTGAGTATTTACTGTTTGTCGATAGGAACTATTTTCTTAAGAGAAATTATTTTTAAATAAAAAGGGTTTTGACAACTTATTTGGAGAATTGTCTAATACCCATCACCAGTTTAATGTTTTGGAAATATATACTTAAGTATTCGTAAAGAATTTTGTAAGGCTGCAAATACCAAGGGTTGTACCCTGTATCCTGTACTTGTACCCTTTCATATCTATTATTACTGATATTCTATATTTTGACATATATTTACACAGCTGAAGAACATGTCCAACACTGTGAAGAAGCTGAATACAAAGATACAGAATGATAATAATCTCTGTTCCAAAGGAATGTTAAAGCATTTAAATCAAAGTATTAAATCTATAGATTACAAGAGTAAGCCGTTTCCAGACGTTGGCGAGCTCCCAAGTAATGTATATGGTTTTTTCAATAATCAATATAAACCGGAATTAAATTGGGATAAGCCAGAGTTAACAACAGTTGATGATAATGTAATCTTAATCTCAGGAAAACAGAGTAATTGTAGGAAAGGAACACCGAAAAGATTATCAAAGAATCGATCAAAAGAAGAACCATGTACTGTTTTATTTATGAGCCCCAGAAACCCAGGTGGAGCCACACAACCAACAATAGAAGAAGAATCTATGAAGAATATTTGTAATCAAAATTGCTTCATACCGCCAAGTACAAATCTGCACAAAAGTGATAAGGTACCAATAAGAGTAAACGTATATGAAGAACCTTTTGGTGGGAAGCGTTCAAAACTGACAAATATCACTGAAATTAACTGTGATGATGTCAAGGTACATCTTCTTAATGAAGCATATGAAAAATTAGATAGAAACTACAATTTAAACTTTGGCAAATTAGGAGCAATAAACGATGATAATTTCTGTAATACATTAGGCACAAGAAACAATAGCATCAACTATGGACAATCGGAAGAAAATATCAAAAGTAACAAAATAGAAGAAAAACATCTCAACAATGCGCAAGAAGAGGAGTTCAATGATGGTGCATGTAGCAACTTCAGTATGGATAGCTTGAAAAACGATAGTCTTAGTAATATTAAAGTTAAACTTCTAGACGACCACTGTTACAAGTCAACCAGTCCCAAAGTTTTTAAAAGCAATGTTTGTAAATCTGGTCAAAAACCACGTCTTAATGAGTGTGAAGTTAAACATCTAGACGATCATTGTTACAAGTCACCTAGTCCCAAAGTTTTTAAAAGCAATGTTTGTAAATCTGGTCAAAAACCACGTCTTAGTGAGTTTGAAGTTAAACTTCTAGACAATCATTGTTACAAGTCACCTAGTGCAAAAACTTTTAAAAGCAATGTTTGTAAACCTGGTAAGAAACAACGTTGTTGTAAGCAACCATGTTGTTGTAAAAAACAGTTAGGTAATCAGCAGGAAATGTGTAGCTATACAAGGAAAGATAATCGAACAGATCCCTTGCTAATTGATATGTTTGACGAAGATTACGTTAACTTTACAGGTGTTAAAAGATCTAGTAAAGTATGTTTGATTGATGATAATAACGATAAATTCAACAGAAGTAGTTATGATATGGACCATAATTACATTATGTCCATGTTGAACAACAAAGAATCAGACACTCGCATAACAAATTCCATAAGCTCTGAGGAGGAAGTATGTGAACCTAAATGCAGAAAAACAGCTGATGGCATCAAACAGAATTACATAAATGACAATAATTATAGTATACAGAATAAATACAATCTGCAAGCAATGTGTAGCAAAGAAAGCTGGTGTAGACTGCAATCAGGCTGTGAAGAAACTGAAACAAAACCAATTCAAGCAAATGCTACAAGACCAAAGCCACCCTTTAAATGGGAGTTTGATCCCAATGCTAATAATTATCACGGTGAAGATCGTAATAATTTGAAGGGTAAACAGGGTATAGCAAGGAAAATCAGTTTGCAAACCATTAGCAGCGATAGTACACTAGATAACCACAAACGACAAGAAAATATGCGGCTCAACCGCAAAGATTTTAATCAATTGAAAGCTGAACAGAATGAAGCCATGAAGAACAATTTGCTAAACATGATTAACAGTAGTTCACTTCATAATCAAGAATTGCAAAAAAATATGCAATTAGCTTGTCGTGGTTCCGGTGGAGCTGACAATCTAAGCAAAGATCAAGAAGTTTATTTAAAAAATTTAATCGGAAAAATCGACGAATCTGAGAAAAATTTGGTTTCACAATACGAGTTGGTAATTATATTAAATAGAATATATGTGTATACATAATTAAATGCTTCCTTATCATAGGTCTGTGACGATTTAAAATCGCGTAAACAATACTTACGCGAATCTGATCGAACACTCAATTATTTATTGGATCAAGTTGTCACACTCGATGATGGACTACTTAGAACAATGGGTAAATATTTAACATAATTATCTTAAATTTTAATTTCATTAAGTGTTATTTTTGATTTCAGATAAAATTGCTTTCTTTTACGAACAAAAACCGAAACATGTTGCTACTACATTACGTAGAGTTCAGAAATACAGAGATGAGCATACTAGTCGAAGCCAAGAAAGCTTATCTAGTTCACAACAAACAGAGGAGCTCACACTCTTAGCAGACGTTTAAATTTACGTGTGTTCTTTATTGGGTATTACATTTCTTAAGCAAATTTTTTAACGTTTATTAAATTTAATTTTTTTATCATAAGCAAAAATTATTAAAATGTGCAACAGCACGTTTGAGATGATTTTGGTTAAACGTTGGTCTGTTGTACATTTTTTACACTTGACTTTCTTTTTACAATATTAACTAGTATTTAAACTTAATAATCATTAACATAATCTATTAATCGTAAAATGTATATGGAAAAAAAAAAACTTACAATGATGTTAGATAACTTATGAAATAGCGGAAATTTTGATTGGTAATAATAGAAAGAAAGATTGTGAATAAACAGAAGAATTGCTTAAGACTCGCGGAAGAAGATTATGTCATCAGCTATGATGCTGGTACTTGTCTTTTGATTTCCTTGTTGATCGGTTATTTCACCATATGTAATTTTGCCCTGCACCATTGTGCGTTGTCCCTTCTTCAGATACTCCATCACAGTATCCCGTAAGTTGGGCTTAAATATTACAATGCGATGCCAATCAGTGCGTTGCGCCCAATCACCATTTTCATACCTAAAAAGTATGTAAAATTAATGCATTATTTTATTTTTTTATATATGTATATGTATTTTGTAACTAACTTATAATTTGTATGTGTCGCTAATGAGAATGTAACGACGGGATGCTCCTGTGAACCACGCAATTGTGGATCTGCACCTACTCGTCCCAACACAGTTACTGTATTAATAGCTATAAACAAATTTAATTATTTTATAAATTATCTGCTACACCTGCTTCTATATATTTAATAATTTATTTATTTAAATTGAATTGTATTACATACTTTTTTCAATTCTCGTAGGTGCTGCTTCGGCAGCGCAGCGCAACAGTTGTGTAAATTGCGTCTTTGCGGATAACAGCGGCGTCAACTGCAATAGTAAACAATTTTTATGAAATTTCTATTATAATATCTAACAATACGTTTACTTACAACACGTTTACTTTGCTGTAACAACATTTTATATTATTATAATAAATTTAAACACTCGATTTAATTTAAATATCCCAAGATCACAAATATTACTACAAAGCCGGCAAAGGTACGCGTGCAAACCATACGTTACAGCGGAACATATGTTCTAACGAAACTCAGAACATTGAATAATAGATGGCGCTTTTAACTTTTAGAAACTTTCAATTTGACATTATTAAATCGAAAATTACAAATTAAAACGTTAACAATTTACATCAGAAAAAAAATTAACAAATAAATTTTATTTGAGAAATAGGTGTTCATGATGCCTATACAAAAAATATTTGTGTTAATACATTATAATATTTGATGCTTGTGCAAACCAAAAACAGTTATATAATTTTACGCTAGATGGCATGGTGGACAGTTGTGGTCATATTGTATTCAATTTTGCACATTCTAATAATAATAAATTTATTAAGAAAATATAAGCAAAAAAATTCAGTAACAATGAAACACAAATGTATAAACATATATATTTTGACATAACACTATAATAAAACTATGTATGAAACCATGAACTTAAATAAAACAAAAATCTTATTTACAGCATGAAACTTTAGTGAAACCGACAAATACATCAAATACGAAATTGTCCAGATTACATCGGATCTCATCAAATGAAAAGAAGTTTGCAACAGAAACAGAAACTTTTGTACAGAGCATATTAGTATCATTAACACTTAATACATTTAAATGAGAAGCATTCTCCAGTAAGAACACAATATATTTATAGTTAAATAATATTCCATTTGAAATATTAAATTTTATAAATTTAATATCAATTAAACTTTAATAAAATTAAAGTTTGTTCATAGTTAATGCACCTTTTTTTTTGAAATTTTAAATAAATTTAAAAAGTGTATTATTTAACATTAGGTGGCAGTGCTACTAGTAATGAAAAATTACATTTGGCATAAATTTGAAATAGATGTTTAATATTGTTAAACTGCATTTTCATAAACCAATTTTGAACATAAAAAACCTGTTTAAGATATTTCAAAACTAATGAAATGTTTTCGTAATGATCATTTTTAAATTTAAGAAAAAACATATATATAGTTAAACACTTTATGTTATTAGAGCAAACATTCCCAAGCGGGTAATAGTAAAAGCTCAACAAAAGGTAAATCAATTGTCTTGGCACTTCATATTCATATATTATTTATTTTTCTATAAATATAGTAAAATACATCAGTTGCTAAATATTTGAACTATTTTTATAAGGTATTATCAGTTATTGCGTTAATATGCAGATATGCGCCTAAGAATTATTTAAATGCATTTACATAATTTGTTTTGGAGTATTCACCTACAGATGGCGCAAAATTAATTTGGAACAATTCTTACCAAGCAATAATGATAAATTATTTTGGAAAGCAATGGGACAATGGAGAAGTAAAAACTTACAAAGAGAGATTCTATAACCGAATTTCATCGAGTAGCTCTCCGTATATTACATGTAAATTAGTGACTACATTTAACAAATATTTTTTTCAATAGTCAAAAGTGTTCAAGACTAAAACTAAATATTAAATAAATTCATTGTTGTTGTGTTTTAGTCATTCTACTTTATAAAAATAGATCATATAACTAATAAAACGATTAAACACTACCTGGCGTAACTACTTATTATTATTTCAGATGAAATTATTCAATTTTAAAGCCTAAAGACAATGCGATTGACATATAGCGCAATAGAAAAATTTGTTTCAAATATTCCACCTTACTAAAATCCGTTGTTAAATGGGCAATTCGTACTTTCAAGACATTCTAATTTGACAACCTAGGTTAAATTGCCTAAAGTTCAGCAACTTTTTCCACTAAGCTATATACCAATTCAGTTTAGTTCTTTAGATATTAAGGATCGTAGTTAAAAATTTGTATATGAACACAACCAGATGGCACGTCTACTTGTCGTTACCAGTTATTTGTATTATCAATTTAAAAATTAAATATACCGGTCGGCGCTAGAGGATATGTGTGATCAATATTAAAGGTATACAACCTTAAACATCGATAATCAGCATATAGCTCTCTATATCGGCATATAGTGTATTCGAGAAAGTTACTTAGAATAGGAAGCTTTACTTAAATCCATTGGCAAATTGGGACGACCCAGAAATATGAATCTTGCCCCTATCTTTTATACATTTAATTATAAGACATTTCCTCAAACCGTTGAAACCTAAATATTTTGAAAATATTGACAACTAATTGTTGTTGAATGAAAAATTAAAGCGCCTACATTTATATAAGGGAGATATTTTTATGTAAATATCTATATTTACACTGATTTTTGATAGAAATGCCTACGGTATAACAGATCACATGAGCTTAGTTATAAAGAAATTCCCGTAGTGATTAAAGCATTATTTTTTTGAGATTTTATTTGAATTTTCTGTTATGATATGCTACAGTTTATAGTGAGCAGAGGCGAGGCGTCGAATGGTTCAGAGTGTTCCCTGAACACCTTAACAAAGCTTCCTTTTTAGATCCTTTTTTTTATTAGGTAAATAATTTCGCTATGTTGCTATTTAACATTTTTTATAATAGCTTTTCTAAACAGATTAACATAAACGCAAAACGTTACACCCAACATTACTTATAATTAATAAAAGAGAAAACACATTCCTCTTAAAATATACTAAGTTCAGAATAAAAACTGCACCGCGCTGCTTACAAAGCATGCAAATGAAATAACATTCATATTGGGACTATTGAAGAAGACCGTGGAACTCGAACGGTCTTCTTCAACACCTTAGAGAGCTTGAAACAGTCCTATCAGTCAAAGATGTTGATGTTTGCTTAATTAGCGAAACTCATTTTACTAACCAAACATATGTTAAACTAAAGAATTACAAAATATATAGCGCAGTCCATCCTAGTAATTACGCTCGCGGAGGAAGTGCTATTTTAATTAAAAAATCGTTAAAACATTATGAGTCTACAAAAATATCTAAAGAGGAATTCCAGGCAATAACTGTTGTCCTTGACTTACAAAGCAAATTACTACTAACATCGGTATACAGTCCTCCAAGACATTCAATTAAATCCGAACAATACAAAGATCTTATAAAAACTCATAAGCATCGCTTCATTATGGGTGGCGATTTCAACGCTAAACATACGCATTGGGGCTCTCGCCTAATTACAACGAAAGGTAGAGAACTCCTCTAAGCTATACAGCAAACTGGCTGCGAATACTTGTCATCCGGGAACCCAACCTATTGGCCAACTGACCCAACAAAGGTGCCTGATCTACTCGATTTCTTTATAACCAAGCAAATTTCGTCCTACAATTTAAAAATAACAGATGGAGCAGAACTAAGCTCCGACTATTCCCCTCTCTACATAACCCTCTTCGAATCTGCCTTAATAAATAAAAAATGTCTAAAACTTGAAAATAAATACACAGATTGGAGTTACTTCAGAAGAATCCTTAATGAAAACACCATTGCTTCAAAAGAAATTTGTGAAGTAAATGATCTTGAAAGCGAAATTTTGAACCTTACGTGCAGCACGCCCACATTAAGGAATGCAACCTATCCTCATAAATACCCAAAAGTCATTGTGGATCTTATGCGGGAAAAAAGAAAGATGCGGAAAAAGTGGCAGCAAACCAGATTTCCAGCAGACAAAGCCACTCTTAACAGACTTGCAAAAGAACTCAGCCTAAAAATCAAGCAATTTAAAAATAATCAATTCAACTACTACCTATCTAACTTAAGTAATGATCGTGCTACCAACTATTCTCTCTGGAAATGCACACGAAACCTTAAACGACCTTTAGTACACAAAGCTCCAATTAAAAATCACGTTAATCAATGGGCTAAAAGCGATGAGGAAAAAGTGGAGGTCCTCTCCGAACACCTGTCAAAAGTGTTTTCCATAGACGAAAACGTTAACGATGCAGTAATCTGCCCTCCTAGGACAGCACATTCATCCTGTATTCCACCAACCACTGAGCTTGAGGTAATGATGATTATTAAAAATGAACTTAAGCTAAAAAAAACCCCAGGTTATGAATTGATAAATGCTGAAGTTTTGAAAGAAATTCCTGCAAAATGCCTAGTTAAAATTACGAATATATTTAACGCTATAATACAGATGCGAACCCTTCCATCCCTGTGGAAAGTATCTGAAATTATCATGGTACATAAGCCAGGAAAGGATATTAATGACGTAAGTGGTTACAGACCAATAGCACTTCTGCCTGTACTTTCAAAAATATTTGAAAAAGTCTTACTGAAAAGAATCCTTCCTCTGATTGAAAGTCAAAACATAATACCTTTAGATCAGTTTGCTTTTAGGTGCAATCACTCCACCATAGATCAAGTCCATAGGATTACCAATATAATAGAAAAAGCTCTTGAGGAAAAAAAAATCTGCTCAGCTGTGTTTTTAGATGTCTCGCAGGCTTTCTATAAAGTCTGGCACTCCGGATTGCTTACCAAAGTAAAAAATATTCTCCCAACGGAGTATTATGACGTAATCTCCTCTTACTTATCTGATCGTTACTTTCGAGTAAAGCACGGTGATGCCTATAGTAAACTGCATAAAATTAACGCTGGAGTTCCGCAAGGTAGTGTTTTGGGTCCTCTCTTATATCTCATTTATACACACGACTTGCCAACGAGTGCAACGACGTTCACAGCAACTTTTGCTGATGATACTACAGTCCTTGCAGTAGGAGAAAGCGCAGTAATAGCAGCTAATAATTTGCAAAATAGTATGGACAGTATAATTGCTTGGACAAAGAAATGGAAAATTAATCTAAATAACGAAAAATCAGTGCATGTAAATTTCACAAATCGAAACATCAGTCATATACCTGTCTACATCGATGAAGTACAAATCCCTCACGCGAATACTGCGAAATACTTGGGTATGACTTTGGACGCTAAACTAAGATGGAGCGAGCACATAAAAAAGAAAAGAAGTGAATTAGATCTTAAATTCAAATCGTTGAAATGGTTAATCGGCAAAAAATCAAAACTATCGCTTTTCAATAAACTTGTATTATACAAACAAATGCTCCAGCCAATCTGGACATATGGAATACAGCTATGGGGTTGCGCAAGCAGAACACAAATTTCCATCATCCAAAGATTCCAAAATTTCATGCTACGGAGTGTAACAAACGCGCCATGGTACGTGAGAAATTCTGACTTACATCGTGACCTCGGAGTGTCAACAGTACAGGAAGAAATTCATACCAAAGCCAAATCACACCAAGATAGACTTAGTTGTCACATAAATGCTGAGGCGCATTTACTAGCTACAACTGAGCCAATACGCCGTCTAAAGCGCCAAAAGCCGTGCGATCTTTGGGCTTAAATCATTGAAATGTACTACAATTAATTTATTATTGCGTGGAATCGCCTAATCTGTTTAAATTTAAATTGCTTGTTAGTTATCTAATAACTAGTTGCTTTATGTCTTGTTTTGTTTTATTTATTGTTCTTTAATATCATATATAATAAAACAACTTATAATAAAAAAAAAAAAAAAAATATTGGGACTATGTTCAATATTGTATAAACACAAAACAGACAAACAAATATAAAAATAAAAGAGAAAACAAGTCCCGCAAAATATGTACGTAAAATAATCATAACTCTTAAATTAATGCGTGCAACCTCTAATGTTATGCAAAATAAATACAAAAGAGAAAAGAAATGACTAAGCGAAAATCGCTTTACATTTGACTAGAGGTTCAGCCAACTAAACTGAACCCGAAGT